CGAATGCTTTTTCTGCATCTATTGAAATAACCATGTGGTTCTTATTCTTGCTCCTGTTGATGTGATGAATAATATTAATTGATTTGCGTATATTGAACCTGCTTTGCATCCCTGAAATGAATCCTGCAAAACACAGAATCTTATTTCAGCAAGCAGGTTACCATGTTAGATCAATGACTAGTGGCAGATGCTACAGGATTAAAGGAGAGACTGTATGACTATATGAATTGGACACTTGGATTTGCTAAATTGCCTATACATTTGGTATACAAAGTTTTATTCTGGGTAAATTATTTTTTTACTTTTATTTATTATAAAGGTGATGTTAAAAGTGGTTGCAGTTATATACATAAGGTAAAGAGTACATTTCTTGTTGAACATTGTTAGCCTCTCCCTTGTTTTTGCTCCTCCCCTCCCCGCTCCTGACTCCTCCCCTGCCAAGTTGTAAAGTTCGTTTCCAACATAGTATTTGTGAGTATCGCTGTTGCATTGGTTCACCCTTTGTCCTTTGTCTCACCCTTTTGTTGTAGTGTTTCCCTTCCCTTCCCAAAATCAGATAAATATATATATATATAAGACACAAGGTACCAAAGTCAAGAAGAGTGACAACAGAAAAAAATGAAGGAAAACAGAAATAACTTCTCACAGTACATTAAAAACAACAACAACAAAGAAAATTTTCTTGACTCCATATCTTGGAGTTCATTTCGATTAGCATCATTTTATAGGGTCATTGAGATTCCATCTCACCCCAGTTAGAATGGCATTATCAAGAAAAGAAATAATAGTAGATGCTGGTGGGGCTATGGTCAAAAGGGAATGCTGCTACACTGTTGGAAATGTAAACTGGTTCAGCTACTCTGGAAAGCAGTATAGAGGTTCTTCAAAAGACTAAACATAGAACTACTCCATGATCCAGCAATCCCGCTCCTGGCATTTACCCAGATAAATACAAGGCCACACTAAAGCCACCAGTATAACTATGTTAATTGCAGCATTATTTACCATAGCTAAGATACAGAACCATCCCAGATGCCCCTCAGTAGATAAATGGATCAAGAAAATGTGGTATATACACACAATGGAATTCTATGCTTCCATCAGAAAGAGTGCCATTGCTCCATTTTTAAGGAAATGGAAAGACTTGGGGAAAAAATCGTATTAAGTGAAGTAAGCCAGACCCAAAGAAACATAGGTCCCATGGTTTCCCTCATTTGTAATAATTAGTATATGTCTAGGAGAGTCCTAGTAGAGGATCACAGCAGTTCAATAGCTATGTGCATATGACCATATAAGATGATGCTAATCGATGTGTAAAATATATTACTCTGTGTAAAAATATTTTTTTTCATGGCAGGATATTGCCCTATAGTCCAGGCTGGCCTTGAATTCATGGTCCTCCTGCCTCAGCCTATCAAGTGCTGGGATTTTAAGTATGTAGTAGCACACACCAGGCCAAAAATACTATTTCTGATAAAGTGCACACTTTGGTGAAAGAATTCAAATCTATATTAACAGTCTATTAGTTGTTCCTTTCAGTTGGGCTACTGATTCTCTTTATTTCCGTTATCATCTTAGGTATTTTTAATTCTGGTCCAAACTGGACTTATTCATTTCTTTCAGAATGGACATTTTTGCAAGTCAAATATAATTTTCATTTAACATTTTAATGTTAATTTCATACACATGAGTCATTTGATTTTTAATAGGAAAGGAACAGGGCAGAATAAATGCTTCATAATTTTTTGAGGGTTCCATTGCTTACAGTATGCCTATGAAAGTGATTTCATAGAAGTTTAAAAATTCAGGGCTAAAGGGATAGAGTTTTTACCTGAAAAAAGTTAAATAATTCCTTCATGAGTCCTTTAATGTATATTTTATACACACAAACACATGTATCTGAATGCCAGGTAAATTTTGATTTGAACAAAGGCATACAAGTAATTTAAAGATCATGAAAATTTTCAAGGACTTAGGTGGGAAATATATCCACACAAAGTTTATTCTGTTCAAAATAGAAAATAGAAAATTAGATTAATGAATTCTGATTTTGATTATATATTTTGATATAAAACTGCTTTGTTTTTATATTTTCTAGATTATAATAACATGAATTGCAATCTTTATATTATTTTAAATGTTGGGAGTTCCATTTACTTATTTTCTTTCCCATAAAATGCACAAAGAACTGTAACTTGAAAGTTAAACATTAATGTTAACATGCCTCCCTGTGACAGAAAATATATTACATTAGTTTCCTATATGGCAGTTCACATAATTAGGTTTTTCTGCTCTAAAAAATTTTTCATGATCTGTATTGTCACAAAATGTTATAAAACAGGCCTCAAATTTAAGATCTTAATAAAATTTTTCTGAACAGGATCCTTAACAAGAGCAAATTAGCTTTAGTTCTAATTATAACATAGTAATTTATTTAATTGCATTCAGGTTACTAAAGTCATTATTTGAACAAGTCCTTTTGTATATTTTAATTTTTAAGAGACAGGCTTCCATGTAGGTAACATGAGCACAAATGCAGTAGCTTATTAAGTCCTCCTAATGGAAGTAGCATTGTAGCTGATGCGGTAGAGCTCTTGCCTTGAGCTGAAGAGCACAGGGACAGCTCCCAAGCCCAGAGTTCAAGCCCCAGGACCAACAAAAAAAAGACTTCCTATTTGAATGTAAGGTCACATGCTGCCATACCAATAAAATAAAGAATAGCTGTGGGTAAATCTTAATGTCTAAAAACATAGTAGACTGAATATAGACTATATTTGTGTTCTTAGCAAATATAAATAGAAGAATTAATAGACATCTAGCAATTCAATGTTGGATGCAAAGATGCCTTCAGGCAGCTTATTTGATGACACTCCAGAATGGAGAAATGACTAAATGATTGATTACTGAATAAGAGAAAACTACAAACCTTTATAATCAAACCTTGAGTGTGGTTTTGCTTTTGTTACTGCTAGCAAGACTTTATGTTGTTCTGAGTTTTTTTTCTTTTGTATTGAAGCTTTTGAGTGTACACAGAGAACCACTGGATGGGGCCAGAAGGCCATCGAAGTGCGCTCTTTGCAATCAAGAGTTCTGGAAAATGAGCTGAAGCGCAGGGCAATCAAGAATCTGAGATTTCTCTGTACCCGAGGTGACAAGGTATAATTTACACTGTTAAATTAGAGCAAAAATTAGGCAACCATGTGAATTAACTAAAGCAATGTATGTCTTTTTCCTGCTGGCCATAAATGTATAAGTTATATATTTTTCAAAATAGCATACCATTAATTAAAACAATGTTCCTTTTTTTATTAAAACACTGATTTGGTAAATGACAATTTTTCCAAAACAATCTCATTAGCAAAAATGTTATACTCTCTAATTATGTCTTTTTTCTTTTCTGTTTTTTAATATGTATTTTTATTGTAAAGATACTGTACAGAGGGGTTACAATTATATGCGTAAGGTAATGCGTACATTTCCTATCAAGTATTGTTACCTCCTCCTTTGTTTTTCCCTTACTATCCCTTCCTTCCCCACCTCCCCAACTCCTCCCTTCCCCCCCCCAACAAAGTTATAAAGCTCGTTTACAACATAGTGTTCTGTACATCCCATTGCCACAATGAGTCAACCCCCATCTCTATTTCAGCACCCTATTACTTTCCTTCCCCTCCCCAAATTAGAAAAATGTACATACAAGATGCAGGACACTGGAATCAAATACACTGAAAACAGGAGTTATACCATGGGGAGAGAACATACCAAAGAAACAAAAGATCAAATAGTATAAGTACATTAAAAAACAACAGCAACAAAGATAAAACCTCTTGTGTCCCTATCTTGGGGTTCATTTCGCTTAGCATCATCTTATGTGGTCATATGTACATAGATTTTGATCTTTTCTGCTTGTCCTAGACATATACTAATTATTTTAATATATATTTTATTCTAAAGATACTGTACAGAGTGGTTACAGTTACTTGAGTAAGGTAATGAGCACATTTTCTATTGAGCATTGTTAACCCCTCCTGTTTTTCCCCTAACATCCCTTCCCTCCCTACCTCCCCAACTCCTCCTCAGCCCCCCAAAGTTGTAAAGTTCATTTGCAGCATAATGTCTTGTACATTTCATTGTTACAATAGCTCAACCTGTATCTTTATTTCAGCATTTTGTTATTTCCCTTCCCCTCCCCAAATTAGAAAAGTGTATATACAAGATACAGGGCAGCAGAATCAAATAAAGTAAAAAACGGGTTATAGCATGGGGGGAGAACATATCGAAGAAGCAAAAAAATCACATAGTACATTATAAATACGTTTAAAACAACAACAACAAAGATAAAAAACCTCTTGTGTCCCTATCTTGGGAGTTATTTTGCTTAGCATCATCTTATATGGTCATATGTACATAGCTTTTGAACTTTTCTGCTTGTCCTAGACATATACTAGTTATTGAAGATAAGGGAAACCATGGGACCTATGTTTCTTTGGGCCTGGTAACATCACTTAATATAATTTCTTCTGAGTCTTTCCATATCCTAATAAATGAGGCAATGTCATTCTTTATGATGGAGGCATAGAATTCTATTGTGTGTGTGTGTGTGTGTGTGTGTGTGTGTGCGTACCACATTTTCTTACCCTACCCCTTAAGCTCTACCCCTTAAGCCACCGTTCCGGTCTGGGATATTGCTTACTAATATAGAGTCTCATGAACTTTGCTACCCACTTTACTATGTGTTGCTTAGTGATCAGTCTCCTGAATAGCTATGATTATAGGAGTAAGTCACCAGGACCTGGCTCCATAGTAACTTTTAGATTTTTTTATTAAAGTGATACTTTAAAATAAAAATGCTTTAATGAACCTTCCTTTAAAATGTTTTATGATTTTTGGGCTGGGAAGGTGGCTCAGTGGTAGAGCGCTTGCCTTCCATGCCTGAGGCCCTGGGTTCGATTCCTCAGCACCACAAAAGCAAAAAGAAAAAAGCCGAAGTGGCGCTGTCGCTCAAGTGGTAGAGTGCTAGCCTTGAGCTGAAGAGCTGAGGGACAGTGCCCAGGCCCAGAGTTCAGGCCCCACGACTGGACCCAAAAAAATGTTTTATGATTTTTGATTGACTTGTATGAATTGCACATATTAATGGGATTCAGTGTGATATTTGAACACATGCATACAATTTGCACTCTGTGTTCAACTTCCATTTATCCTCTCCTCCTACATGCTTTCTATCTCTAGCCATCACTATTCTACATACAGATCAAGTATTTTTAGCTTCTACACATAACAAAAAATGTAGTATTTCTCTATTTATATTTTGCTTATAAACAACATATGATCTGGTTCCATCCATGTTGCCATACATGGCATGACTTCATTATTAATCTTTTTGCCATTATTTGTATGTACCATATTTTTATACATTTATCAGTAGATGGCCACCTTGGATGATTCCAAAGTTGTTGTGGATCAGGCTGCATTAACCATGTTTATATAGGTATCTTTTTGATATGCTGATTTTGTTTCCTTTGGTTATATAATAAGTAGAGTTGCCAGAATAGAGTCAATCATGGAGTAGATTAATTTTATTTTTTTATTTCGTATTTTAATTGTGAAAATACAATACAGAGGGGTTACAATTACATGGGCAAGATGATGAGTACATTTCTTATCAAGCATTGTATCCTCTTCCTTTGTTTCCCCTTCCCATTCCTTCCCATCCTCCCCCTGCTCCCCACCCAATCCTCCCCCCTCCCACTCCACACCAAAGTTGTAAAGTTCGTTTTCAACATAACAACTTGTACATCTCATTGTTGCAATGGGTCCACCTGTATCCCTATTTCAACGATTTGTTTTTCCCCTTCCCCTCCACAAATTATACCAACATCAAATACAGTGAAAGCAGGGGTTATACCATGGGGGAGGGACATACAATGCAACAAAGAAATCATCTTATAAATATGTTAGAAACAATTGCATGAAAGAAAAAAAACATTTGAATACATATCTTAGGATTCATTTCCCTAACATCAACTTATCTGACATTTTCTGATTGACTCATACATATACTAGATATTGCAAATAAGGGAAACCATGGGACCTATGTTTTTTGGACCTGGCTTACTTCACTTAATATAATTTTTTCCAAGCATTTCCATTTCCTAACAAATGGGGCAATGTCATTCTTTCTGATTGAGGCATAGAATTCCATTATGTATATATACCACATTTTCTTGATCTATTTATCTACTGAGGGGCATCTGGGTTGGTTCCATATCTTAGCTATGGT